CTGGATGAATGGATATAATAATATGATAAATTCCTTGCAGTATTATATTTTTTTGAGAAGAGAAAGTATTGTAAGTTCCAGCTTAATTATCTGAAGTTCTGTGATTATCTTGATGATATTCTGGAAGATTTTGAGAATGACTGGTACTTCTCTGAGCTTGAAGAAGTTGGCATGATCAATGTTAACAATATTTATGATCACATGTGTAAAACTGGACTAATCCTACTATTTAAATATGCTCCCAAATAGACTAATTTAAAAGAGTATGTCTACTTTTTTTAAGTTATAACAGGGAAGCGTCAGCGACACTCTTTACAATTCAAGTCAGAAAAGAAAAAGCCTGAGTCGGAAGAGAAGAGACCTGAATTGGAAGAGGAATTATGAATGATTTAAATGTTCTCTTATAACATAAAGATATCTGATTATTAGAGGAAAAGGAGCATGGTTGATAGTATTACTAAAGGTAACTTAAGAATCTTCAGATAACTAATTTTATGTAAGCTTAAATATATCCAGCTAATGGAATTGACATTGCTGGTTATTTTCCATAGTATAATTATATTTAGTCTAACTTGCTAACCTAATAGTCTATCTCTCTTACTATAATAGGCATTGTTATAGCTGGTCTTAGGAATAGATGTTACCATGAGTGAAAATTATGTAGATTAGTGCTATTAGGGAGGGACTATAACGGTTGTGAAACTTGTGGCCATTAATAATACTGAATAAAAAGAAATGTAGGTTCCTGTTTAAACTATGCTAGAGAACTGTTTATTTTGGTTTCCTGGATTGAGAGAGAAGTGAGATAATAAATAGTAATAATATCTATTATTATTATGTTGTAGCCCAAGAAACTATGTTGGTTCAAGATTAAAGAAACTGGGATTTTATATCTAGCAAATATTTCTAATAATATAGAAATAACTAAACCAGCCGCTTGAACACTTAAACTGTCTAAGAGAGCTGTTATATCAGGTAATATTATGTTATTTTTAAATGCTCTTTCTAATTATTATCCTTGGAAACCTATTTTCGCTTCCTGGTAATGCAGTTACGGTGTGGTTCTTTAATTGAGTAAAAGTTATGAAAGTGATGTTTCAAGTCTAGAGTAGAGAGGTATTCCTTGCCCTTATAATAAGAATGAGGACATGAAATGGATGATTCCTCATTTATCTTTGCTAAATATTTGCTATTAATATGATTGATTAGAGTAGCTTTCTTATACTATTGCTTGAACTGATATTCAGGCTGCATGTTCTGGTTGTCTAAATAAAATGGACAGAATCCAGGCTAGACTAATATATGACAGAAGGTCAAGAGTCTATAATGTGGTTGCATGTTTTTGAGATGAACACAGCAGTGCTCCTGCTAGTCAGATTTAGTATGGAACTATTTTATATATAAATAGTACCATTCTAGAAATGACTGGTTAGTGCGGCGATGGGCTCTCTTGCTGTTTTTATAATATTGTTGATATGGTGCAGTATTAAGAGACTTTCTTCGGCATTGGAGAATATGTCTTGAATGATATTGAATATCAATACTGTGAATATTAGTAAGACAAGTTTTTGTGTAATAGAAATTCTATAATGAATCTTGATATAGACTTCGAGCATATTGGGCATTTTCTATTGATTGGTGATTTACTAGGATAATATACTACTCTCTCTGTAAATATATAAATGATTATTATATCTAGCAAGCACTGTCTTCCAGTTTCACTGTTAATTATCACTTCAGTAAATAAGTAGTTGTGTAGCCTGTCTCGTTCTGACATATATTTACAATAGATTGAAAATAAATATGTTAGATTATGCTCAGCAAAGTCTTTTCCTGCAAGATATTCATTATATAAGGTTTTTCACTAATCTTCAATAAATTGTTGGGTCTTGCTGCGGTGTCTTTTAGATACTTTATTATATAATATTACTTGTTCCTGTATAAGATCTGGGTATTTATCTGGCTTGCTATTGATTCTCTTTATTAAGAGCTTAATCTCTGCATACAAATCTTTGACCTTTTTATTATTCTTAAATTCTGCTTCTGCTGCTGTATCGAGCTTAATTAAAGTATTGAGATCCCGGTAATAGACTATACTTTCTTCTGTATTAAGTAACTCATATAAAGGATCTATACTCCAGAAATAGGCCTGGATATTAGTCTGTTTGATCTGTAACTGGTATTTAATATATGTATCTGCATTCAAATAGTCTATTGCCTGTTTATATATAGCTTAAGAAGCTTTTGCTGTACTATAGTTAGTATAATAAAGTATAAATTATAAAACTGAATTTACTGTTAATAGAGGTTGTTACCTGGCCTCTTATTCCATGTATCCTCAGTATATCTTTGAAATATTCTCATCGCGTAAGAGAGATGAAGTTATGCTGGAGTGAGGTGAATGTTAGAGCTCTAATAAGATGTGGTCTATTTATACTTATTATATAAAGAACTGGCTGGTGCCTTGCATGGATCTCTTATTCAAGTATCCAGGATTCTCTTCTCTTTGGTAGTCTTTTTAACAGTAATTTATTAACAGTCCGAATGCCTTTGAAAGCTTGGTCGGCTATACCTACAATTATAATATAGAAAATAAAATTTTGTCCAAGTATCTTTTGTTCCGGGATCCAGTTCTTTAGACTAAAGATATTAGCTTGTATAATAATAATATTTCAACTTAAATATTTATATATTTGCTTTATCGTCATACCGGAGGGCTTTGAGAAATTCTGATCTAATAATAACCCATTATTTAATTTCATTATCTTTGAATTGTATATTGAAGATAAGGTGTTTTTTATAAAGGTTTAGTTTTTTATACTTTGTTTATGTAGTAAGGTCTTCTACTTACCTTATAAAAGAGAGCTTTATTGGTATCTCTATAATCACTTGATTTAATAATAGATCTGGCTTGAGATCCAGAATCCAAGAACAGTGACAAGGTAAATCTATTCTGGAATTAAGCCTGTTCGTGAATATAGTCATGGTCATTATCCTGAAATAAGTGTCTTAGAAGAAGATTAATATCTTTTGCTATAACTTGGAATTTTTTTCTGTATTCTGTAGGAAGTTTATGTCTTAGTATTAAGATATTATGTATATGCTTTTTCCAGAGTAAGTATATAGATGTCTGAAAAGGAGTAATTGATTTATGACTTATATTGAAAATGTCAGCTTTAACAGTGTTAGAAATGTTTCTTGAGGTTATCCTCTTCTATTCAGCTATTATAATAAATGTATAGTTCAGTATAGTATCCTGAGAAGGCTTTTTCTTTGTCTATATATAGATGTATATTTCAGGAAAGAGTTTCCAGGTCTGGACAGAAGAATCAGGCTCCAGTTTTGAAAGGAATTTGTTTTCAGGTTTATTTTGTATTCTTATCTATCTATTAAGAATCAGCACCGCTTTTTATATATGTTTAGTACAGTATAGTCATTTATATTTTCTAATATTTAATAATTATATTATATTTTATTATAGTAGCTGGAGCTTGCTTTTTGTAGTATATCTCATTTTCTTTATTTTCTATATTCTTCTGGTATTCTGTAGTAAAACTGTATAATTCAGCTTGCTTACAGAGCTTAGTAATCTTTCTTTGTTTCTGCTTCTTATATAGGACTAAATATTTATTATATAACATGGCTGGTCTTTATTATAGAATCATGTTTCAAGAGATTTAGTGATAATAGATATTTTCAATAGATGAAAGAAAAGATAGATAGACAACAGCTGAAGTGTCCTATTTTAACTTCACAGAATATCTATCAAGGTTTTTCAGGGGCTTATTTACTCACCTGCTTGCTTACCCACTTGCTCACCCTGCTCACCTACTTGCTCATCTTGCTTATCTATATCCTTGACAATATCAGCCAACTCACCCGCACTCACTCTATAACTTAGTGTTGCTTACCCATAAAGCAGCAACCTAATAAAGGCTTATCTTCTGGTCTGCCACGTTTAATCATGTTGGCTTAAGTACAGCTGAGCAGACGGGAAGCCCTGTTTTCCACACCCTATGGTCATATGTGCTGGACAAATACTCACTTAGGTTTATGTAGATTAAAGCTTTAGTTGTTAGGCTGTAGGAATAACTGACAGAGCTCAACGACTGATCAGCGTAGTAGTTGGGAGGACAATAAAGTCATAACATGTGAGTCCGTCTTTGTCGGCATTCTTGCATCCTTCTTTTGTACATTGGGGAATTCGGGTTACGATCGACCGTTTCATATGAAGTTACGGGGTGCTGATAATCTTGTTATGGATCGGGTAAGCCCACAGTTTCATCCAGGACAGCTTCAATAAATGTAGCTACCGGCGCTCTGCCTGTCTTGATCAAGACACAAAGGAAATGATAGATCCTAGTAACAAGTGGCAACATGTACTTCTGTGGGCCTTTGACGTCCAGGAGGTCACGAATGCAAACCGAAATAGGCCGGCTGGGTTCGATAGCAAAGGGTGTCGAGGTCAGTAATACCAACACGAGGGTTCCAGAGATTCAAGATATCTGTCTCTATATTATACCCGAGCCTAATCTATCCTGTTGGGACTTAGCTGAAGTGCTAAGCGTCTCGGCAACACTGCAGGATGGCGACCGGCTCATACTCCCATACATACAGATGTTGGCTAGCGTGGTAGGCTACAACAGGGGGTGTATCCTAGTGGAATCCTATACAGCAGGATTGCATTGACATAAACATGTCGGAGCGGCGCTGGCCTGTCCCGTGTAATCCTTGTCACTTAACCAACAAGCTGTTCTTTGTCACCTGTCGGGCATCAGCGCGTCCGCTACCTGGCCCTCTTTTCCTTACCAGTATTCCTATTCACTCTCCACTCCATATCCCCATCGCAGATTGCTTCTTCATAGTCACCGTATCACGCAATGTCCGTATTCTTCCTTTTCTGCACTGCAGACGTAACGGCCAGTGTAAGATCATCTATTTTATCTCTTGTGGTAGTATGAACATGCTTATTGTGCCTTATCTCGATATTGAATAGCTTCATGGACCAATTCGCCCGGTACCATAGCCCAGACTGTCCCAACTTCTTCTGCGTTGTCCGAACACCGGAACAAACTGAATTCGACAGTTATGGCACCGAACTACCAATCAGTGACTTTTCCACTGGCTTTAAAGACGCGACAGACACCGAGCTTCGCCTCTGGGCCCGAAACAAGATCTCAGAGCTCAGGGAACACGGAAGCGAAGACATGCTGCAATCCTACTGGATTGTTGTAATGGATGAACAGTCTGGACATGACTCAACAATTGTTTTGCATTACAACGAAGAGCTCTCCCTCTGGGCCCAGAGTCTGGAAGATGCCGGGCTGCCATTCAATATCCCACATGATGCAGATGTATCAGAGGGTGACATCTGGTGGAGATGGCGCTTGCCTATATCAGGAGCTCATCACCTGTTCAACGGTGTGGACGATGGTGACTTCGTGATGATTGAACTGTTTTCACGCCCGGAGTACGTGGGCCCGAACGGGGTGGTGAATGTCGACATTCCCGTCAAGATTATTCGCGGGGAGATTCCAGATCCCATTACTCAGCAGAAGAGTTGAGGATGTGAGAGCGAATGGATGTATCTTTATTGTGGCAGAGTTGATGTCACTAGAATGTATTTAAAGCAACTTATGAGTCGGTCTAGTTTATCAAAGCTCTGGAGCCAATGACATTTCACGTTTTGAGATAAAGACCATTACTTTAAAATCCGTCGAAATAGGTGCCTCGACGGGAAAGGGTACGCCGTTTCTAAGCATGACAGCCAAAGATATTAATAGTTTGTCCCGGCTCTTAACATCAAGGACAAAGATTTGCGTGTAGACGCAAAGCCTAACTTCTATGAGGTCATTCCATTGCATGATCAATACTAGAGGCTTCAACTATGTCTTGGCTTGTAAAGCCCATCAGTTATCCGATGTGATACGAAACATATATGTGGTCAAAACAAGGGGACATGGCGGTCAATTGTTGACTTGGATTTTGTATTCCCAAATGCGCGTGTGCCGAGAATAGTATTCCAGCTTAGGAAGCAGAACCCCAAATAGCATCCTTCAACCTAGTCCGTCCTATTCTGCTAGTCCACGCCGTCTTCACGTTATTTCAGCAAGAACAGCAAACAGGACCTGGTTATCAACTCTGCAGCCCTCCCATTGGAAGCGCGCGCTCCTATACCCTGACCGAAGACGCATATCAAGGTCCAATATACTTAGGTTCTTTGTGTTGCAACTCATGACCAGCTCCAAAGCTACGGCACACACTGTCGTGTCTTCGTACTTGTCTTCCGACACCTCATTTCTCAGGATGGATTCCAGTACATCGGTACCTGGGTCATAAAAAGACGCAGAAATTGGCGCCACCTGTGGTGGAATCGGGAGGCAGTTGGAATCTTTGAGGTCTTCAAACGAAACAGAAGAAGAACCCTTCGATGGACAATAGCAGAGCTGGGAAACCTGTCCCATTGGTGTGTCTTTTGTTGGTCCCACTGAAAATCCAGAAGTATCAGATATATTACCCAGAAGGTGTTTGATAAAGTAGGCCATGTGCTCGTAGGTAAATAGCAGGGGATTTAGCTCACGCACCCAAGCTAGTCTCGTCCATCAACAGAGCCGGATCCCTGCATATATTGCCTATGACGTTATTATCGTACTCTGCTTGCCTGCTGACCCTAGGCATTTTGTCGTCGATACCGCGGAGATTGAGTAGAGCCGTTAAACTTTCGTTCTCCCGACGAAGGCTGTCCATAAGAGACCGTAGTCCCAGGATCTCACGGGAAGTAGCCTCCATGATAGATGCAAGTTCATGTTCTAGCTCAGCTACATGATCGCGTTTTCGCTGTCTGCAGCGGCGCTGGTTGTTGCGCACGCGGGCCAGATCCTCTGCCTAGCTGAAGTTAGATATCGCATCGCAATTTGATGCAGAAACGGGATCACTATGCTTTGGTCTTCTGCTTTATGCGAGGCATGTTAGAACGTAGCACAGAATCTATATCTCCGATGCTTCTGCGTTCCAGTATCCACAAATTCTACTATCAGCCATCAAACATCGCTAACGACCTTTCGTCGGGTCTTGTAGCAGCTGCGTTGGAATTAACAACGATGCTCCTGGTCCGAAGGGGGAAGAAAGAGTGGAAATGGCTTCAAATCATGCGCTTCTATTGGTCAAAGGCTCTCGGCGTGCGGGGAACTCCACTCCGAAAATGGTGACATACCACTTTCCCTTGCCCCAACTGATGACATACCACGTATGAAAATGACACCAATAATATACAGAAGCGAACTTGTCACGAGCCATGATTGTCCAAAAATAGGAGCAAGGGCTATTGATTGTTGCCCTCGCCCCTGGATATAAAGACACTTGGAATACCTCCCGTCCGCACCCCAGATGTCCTGCTAATCCCACTCCACAAAAGCCCCCTTTAACAATTGATCTCACAGATCTATTATTCTTCCACGATATGTCTGGAGATACCTACAATCTCGTTCAAACGCGCTACGGGTCTATTGCTAAATACAGTGATAACACCCAGTCGAGCGAAGTAGAAGAGAATATCGCCAGGGCATTCGGCTACACTGCGGGGGATCTTAGTGCGCTGCCAGAGAAGGCAAACCTCGGGTCAAGCTGTGGAAATCCCGTTGGTTTCGCGAACTTGAAAGAGGTTTGGCTTTGCTACCTGGTGCCACGAGCGCCAACAAATAGGTTCTAACCTTCTTAGGGCGAAACGGTTCTGGATCTTGGCAGTGGCAGCGGTATTGATGTCCTTCTGGCGGCTCGTAAAGTTGGCCGCAATGGACAGGCCATCGGCATTGACATGACAGAAGTAAGTGCTCCAAGACCTTCCCCCTAAAGAGTCATGGCTGATTCTAAACTTAGAATATGAACCAACTCGCCAAGAAGAACATCCAAAAGGCAGGCCTGTCCAATGCAAAGGTCGTCGAAGCCAATGTCAACTGCATACCGCTGCCTGACTCCAGCATTGACTGCATTATCAGCAACTGTGTTATCAACCTGGTGCCGGCGACAGACAAAGAGACCGTTTTTGGAGAGATTGCTCGACTCCTCAAGCCTGGTGGAAGAGTAGCAATCAGTGATATCCTGGCTAGGAAACCGCTCCCGGCTACCATTACCAAAAACATGGCCCTTTATGTTGGGTGTGTTGCTGGGGCTAGTCAGATTGGATTGTACGACGAGTATCTCAGGCAGGCCGGATTTGAAGGTACATATACCACCATAATAAGAGGCCCCCGTTCTAATATAATGACAGGCGTGTTTATTGTGGATACCAAATCGGACCTCAACCTCTATAAACAGTCGTCGTATTTACCCCAGAGCTCGTGCTGCAGCGGCGGATGCGGTATTGAGTCTCCGAATGCGATAGCAGAGTTGGACTTCAACGAGTGGGTTGGTCAGTTAGCACCTCTACCATCCTGGGTTATAGGTCACTGACACTTTGTCAAGGCTCTTTCCAAATATATGCCGTGAAGCCCAAGATGGCTTGGTTGAAGGAATCACCTGTAGAAGAGCTGGAGTTCCTTGGTGCCTACCACCCAGATAATCCTGTAGCCTTGCCTTGAATTAGTCACTATTAATCGAATGGAATTTATATGTAGTATGAGTATGAGAGCGATGGGAATAAAACTGCATCCTGTGACAAATTCCCCCAAGCCAGATGCACTAATATCCGAACTCGTCAGGTGTGACTCCACTCTAGCCCGGGACCTGGATCCACTTTTGTTGGTACTAGTGCACCTTCGCAGAAAGGGAGCGACATCCAATCAGCGTACACCAGTGACATACTTGCCGCCGGCTGCCCTGGGAGTTTACATGTTTGGGTCTACGAACATAAATCATCACACTTCACTAGAAGTATATCTTGATCCGAGCCCAGAAAGTGTTATACTAAATACCCAATGCTTGGCCGTCTACAAGCCCCCTCGTTGCACGGGCTCACTCCATTCATTCACTCAGTAATACTATCGGTTCCCAGGAGATACGGCAAAATGGCGTATTCCGTTACTGCTCAACCTGGGCCTAGTATCCCCTCATTCATTAACAAATTCCCATCTCTCGCAATATCTGAGAGCGAGGATGACGCCAATATTCGCCATAAATATCGCCCCTTTCTTCTCGACGATGGCGCATCTGACGACTGGGTCAACAAGTTAGAGTTAACAATCGCCATGGAGATGGCAGCGCAGGAGCTGCGACAATCAAACAACAGATTGAAAGTGCTAGTGTTGTACGGCAGTCTCCGCCAAAGGTCTTATTCGCGTCTCGTGGCATTGGAAGCTAGCAGGATTCTGTTCCGCCTAGGGTGCGATGTCCGCGTGTTCAATCCCGACGGTTTACCAGTCAAAAATGATACCGATCACGACCATCCTAAGGTGCAGGAACTCCGAGACCTCAGTAAATGGAGCGATGGGCATGTTTGGATATCGCCTGAACAGCATGGCAACCTGGTTGGCATCCCTTCCCTCACGTCTTACTACTTCAATTACTAATCCACCCCAAGACCGCCGTATTCAAAAATCAGATCGATTGGATCCCGTTAACCACAGGCAGCGTGCGTCCCACACAGGGCCGGACGCTTGCTATCGCGCAAGTATGTGGCGGGTCGCAATCGTTCAATGCTGTCAATTCCCTGCGGATACTCGGCCGGTGGATGCGCATGTTTACAATCCCCAATCAGTCATCTATCCCGAAGGCATATACCCATTTCCCAGATGAAGGTCAACCGGGGGACCAGAGACTTCTCCCTAGTGGTAACCGGGACCGGTTAGTTGATTGTATGGAGGAGTTCGTGAAATATACCATCCTCATGCGACCTCACCTGGACCTTTTTGGTGATCGGTTCAGCGAGCGGGAAGAGAAGCGGATCAAGGAGATGAAGGAAGGCGCCAAACAAGCATAAAGTGTGACCTAAAAGCTCCTGATTTGTAAATAACTATTCAGGCTCTTAGTTGTTTGAAGAAACATAGATTGTCTAGAACAGCCCCTTGACTGTCATTGCTGCCCTCAACCGGTAGAACGAATCAAAGTAGTAAATTTAAGCAGTCCATGCAGATGCGTCGTATTCATCCATGAAATCCGTGTATTCCTTCCCTGCTGCCACCCATCCTTTAATACCCCCTTCTAGCACAAGACTTCTCATCCGGGTGTCTTGTTGCTGCTCAATGTAGTCGGCAAACCAACTCGCGGCTCGCACTCCACGGCCCTTCGATGAACCTGAGTCTAGTGAGCACATTCCACCACTCTTAAATGAGAGGAAGCAATAATATGTAACATACCACAGTACCAGATAACCTTCGTAGCCTGGCTTTGGCTGAGAAGAGAATAGAGTGTTGGGATTGCAGGGTACAGAGTCTGGGCTGGGAGGTTAATGGATCCTCGGATGGTACCTCCCTGAAAACGCATGTCAATTACATTCACCTTTTATCCTGATCTACTAACTCACCTCGAAATCCGTCCGACGTAGGTCTATTAATAGGAAATCACGTCCGGGCTGTCTACCTGAGCGAAACCATCCTAGTACCTCCTCGCGACGGATACCGATTGCCGTGCTCCGAGGTGCGGGATAGGCTGCGTGCCAAGGAAGAGTATCTGTAGACATCATGGGTCAATTGTAGCTGTTTACTCAGTGAACTGTACGGATAGATTGTTAATGAGGAAGAGTTCCAGCCGCTTGTTCATACTTCAACTACGGGCTTCTTCTGGTTCGGTGGGCCAAGATCGCCAAACACAGCGTGAATGCTCCGTTGACCAATCAGCATCGATCAGTGACATTCCAGGGCAACATCCGGTCTGAATAACCTCGGTTTGCTGGACCCATTCTCCTACTATTTAGATCTTCCCAAAATTTTGAAATAGGCATTATTCTGATAAATTATGTTTCTCAGGGAGTCCTATGAGTGTACATTCCAACTCGACGGGCTACTGCTAGTCTTGTCACGGCATGAAGTTGCTACTACTAATGTCAGATCGTTTAACTTGAAATGTTTTGTGACTCGCGGTATACATGCGTGCATATGCCGTCTTTCCCAATGTTATGATCAGAATGAGCATTTTTGGTAAAATATGTGAGTAAGCGACTCATGATTGAGTGATTGCGATCGCACCAGGCCAATACCTGCAGTCTCCTTAATCCCGGGCAGATCGTTTAAATTGGTACATTAAATCTGTGTTTATTACGATCGCGAATTATCTTGCAACACCTTAACATCACCACTAAAGCAGTCCATCGCGGTTCCTGAAACCCGGACCACAACCCCGCCTCTCCACGCCACAACCAACGCCAATCACGCAATTCCATAGTATGATTGATAATGACAATTCCCTGTCTGCCACCTTATCGAACCTATCATTGTCTCCAAACGTCACGAATCTAGCCCAATGCATAAACGTGGCAGACTACTTAAGTGTGGGTGTTATCCGTAAGATTGTCGAACAAGACCCGGACGTGCATTTCGCTCCGAGTACCAAAATTGTTGCATTCGGCCACACAAGATGACTACAGACTCGGGATCTCCAGCTAAGCTGCGAGTTGCTATAATTGGGGCCGGCCCAGCAGGACTTGGAGCAGCTATTGAATTTGCCAAACTACCATTTGTTGAATTGCGTGTCTACGAGCAGGCCCGGGAGCTTCGGGAAGTCGGTGCAGGGATCAGCATTCAACAGAATACGTGGCGCATGCTCGATCTATTCGGAGTGTATGGCGATGTCGACTCAAAAGATTTGTTTCGTCCCGCAGATGGACATGCAGTTCAGCATCGGTGGGTATTCTGCCTCTTATAAAAGGACATGACTGAGCAATAGACATGTAGAAACGGGAAGACTGGGGAGCTATTGTTGTCAAAGGGACAGGAAGGTATGGACCCCCAAAACTTGGATTGCCTGGCATCTGACCGTATCAGGCACACCTTCTCGCTATCTTCATGCTCGCACGCTTCGATCTGTACTTCAACAAGCTCTACTGAAAGGTGTTGACAAATCAAAGCTACGACTCTCAAGTCGACTAGTAGAAGTGTCTCAGCTTCCCTCAGAAGCATTCTTCCTACGCTTTGAAGACGGCCACACCGACGAGGCGGATCTTCTTGTTGGAGCTGATGGTGTCCGATCAGTCAGTCACCAACCCCTGTTCAACATTTGACCCGTCACTCACATTTTAGGTTGTCCGACAATTCGCCCACCCCGAACACCGTCTTAAGTACATCGGAACCACGGCATATCGCGCACTCGCAGACGCCCGCGATATCTTAAGCATACCTGGTATCCCGGACTCCGTGACCTTCTGGCATGGACCAGCCGATCGTCTGTACACCTGCAACTTGAATAACAATGTTTATGAGATTGCCGCGCGAGTTCCTCAGACTGCAGAGACTGTTCCAGTGAGTTGGGGACAGGATGCGAGTGTAGAGGAGTTCAGCTGGAGATACAAAGTATATTCCTTTCATGCAAATCCGTTTACTCACTGCTGATCATATCGAGTAGGACTTTTCGCCTGCTCTTCAGGGCGTACTTGAGAAGATCAAGGTTGTCAAGAAATTTGCCCTTTTCTCTGGACCACGGTTATCTAGTGTTATTTCTCATGGATCGATCGCACTTGTCGGGGACGCATCGCACCGTATGTTCTCATCATTCTCTGAGTTTCCCAAATGCTAACCATATACAGCTCTTTCCGGTGCATTCGGTAAGGGGTGCATCTAAACTAGCGAGAGAACTCACTAACTTGTTTAGGCGCCGGCGCCGGCTTCGCACTCGAGGACGTCTATGTACTTACGCGCGCCGTGAAGTGGGCCCATGAGCGCGGACTGCCAATACAAGATGGACTGGAACTGTTCGATAGAGTTCGAGCTCCACATTATGCTGCCATGGTAAGCACCCTCAGGACAGTATCTGAGTGTACATTTACTTATGATCTTGCAGTATGACATTTTGGATGGTCATGGGAAGTCGGATGTGTCAGTGAAGAAGACGGACGATTTCGACGAAGCAGTATCGATGATTGTTTCCAAAAAGTGGGATGATGATCATGGATGGTTGTATCGCTATAATGTATGTTACCATTGGAGATACTGATTGGATATGCTGACTTTAGTCATAGGTCGAGGAGGCGTGGAGGGAGACTTACGAAGCCGAAGATGCTAGGCGCGCGGCGGTTGAGCAGTCGGGTCGTGGAGAAGATTTGAATTCTCGGCTGTAGATACAGCAACATTGGTATTTGGTTGTGGGATAAGACAAAGTTCTTAGAAGTAGACTGATAGAAATGATATAAATTTTTCTTGAAAGGAGATATGTCTAAACGTGACGCCCATTTCCGATATCCCATGTTGATTTATCATACAGTATATATGCATCTGCAATAAGTCTTGGTTCCAAGTCACTGATAGAAAAATAGATAACTCCCCTACAACACCAAGAACACCGTAGCCTTTATAAGCTTTGCTACCTCTTCCTCACATCAACTCAACTTATCCAGTCCGCTCATATGATTCGTCATCATATCCTATACCGATTTAGCAAACACTCACCCATTGGCAGCAGAGGAGATACATACCAAAACCCACGTCGGCATAAACGACGTCAAAAACCACCCAATGGAGGCCATCTTCCCCCTCCAAATAAGCCCAGTCTTCCCACCCACCAAATCATCAACCACACGACGGGCATATTCGGAGCAAGGCATCGTGCCGCCTGTGTTGGCTCCCGTCGCAATATCCATTATCTCCTTTGTCGCAGGCGCATACCTTGATCCCTCCAGATTCAACTCCGGTGCGCGAGTCCAAAGATTCGACCCCACGACACCAGTCATGATCGTCACGACTTTGACATTAAATGGTGCGAGCTCATGACGTAGACCCTCGCTATATGATTTTAATGCCGCTTTTGAAGATGTATAAAATGCTATATCCCCAGTTAGCCAGATCATCTCCATCAACTCCTGGTCACCCCGTAGCGGAATTTAAGCACTGACCATTCCACGGAACCGTCATGACCCCACCCATGGAGCAATGATTCGCGATAACTCCCTTGGCTGCAATAACCATCTCGGAGAACGCATTCACCATTCTCACAACACCCCAGAAGTTGACATCAAAGACCTCTCTGGCTTTCTCGATATCCGTCTCCAGTGCCGGAAACGTAAGCGGGAGACCTGAGTTATTCACAAGATAATCGAGCCTCCCGCCGGTAAGCGATTTCACAGCTTCCACAGCGGCGGCAATATCATCGGCAGAAGTCACATCTAATTTGAGAAGCGTCATGTTGGGATACTTTGATAGATGGGACATTTTATCCACGGAACGGGCAGTCGCAATGACGTGGTGGTTCCGCTCGTGGAAGGCCTCGGCTAGGGCGGAGCCGATACCGCCTGCGCTGCAGCCGGTGATGAGAACGGTTGGGAGGGACATGGTTGGTTAGTTTGATAAGGTCGTGAGGCACACAAACATTGAATTGCAAGGATCGGGGATGATGGGGTTTATAAAGCCAGAACAAGGAGCAAGGAGGTAAGCTTACGGGTTGTGTTGTGGGGATCTCGTATCCGGGCAGAAATGGACCAGTGGATTACGGATCTCGTGGGATCTATTAATAATAACGTTATCTTATCGGGCTGAATGGGGAATAGTCTGGTATGTTGCGGTGAGTTTGTTCATCGGGGGATGATGAAAATGAGTATTTCAGGATGCAAGTTGTTGTCGTGCATTGTTTAATGAGTATACTGAAGTAGCTGACTGAGGTGGACTTCATTTCGTTCCTTTTTCCCAGAGAATCGGTTAGCATCCATGATTAGCGGGCTAGAGGGTGACAACCCGAGTAGCATTTACGCAGATATGTAAGGCCACTAATGAGCCAAATACTACATTTTTGACATTCCCAGAACCTCAGTCAAGCTATCCTGAATCAACTAGGGCCGTGCTTGTCTAAGACTTGCCGCCCCAGAAGTTAAGATTTCGCCGGGGGTGACATATGCACCGATAAAGATAACCGAAGCCGTTAGACCCCATGAGCATTTGTCGTACTATATTCATTATACACCACAATAGCCAAGTATCATATAAGCAAATGGATGTCATAGAGTAACGTTTACTTTGAAGTATTTCCACATCCCTTGACAAAATAACAAGAAATAAAAATGAAATAAGTTGGAATATGGGAAACATAAAATAAGAATCAAAGAAAGAAGGAAAGAAAAAAAGTAACATTTGGGCCGGTACGGAGGAAATTGAAAGAAACGCAAAACCGCGGTCTCATAAGTCCCTACAAGGTCTGCTTTATCGAGCGAACGTTTCGAAGGCGGAAGCTGTCCTAGAGCTGTAATGGCCGCGTGGTACCATTCTGCGCCCAGGTCCATCCATTATCTCGAATATAGTTCAGACATTGTTCTACTTCGCAGCTAGCAGAATCATCAAGCAGATCATAGGTCTTATCATCGGCAAGTAAAGGCGTGAGTGCTGGTTTATCGTATTTCCAGAATCTGGCTCTGGTTCCGATTGCCGTGGCTGCAAAGGTTCGCGTCGTTTCACGGATGTTCCCCAGGCAGTAATCCAGTAGTTGACCCTCTGCTAATTTCCACTCAGACGGAGTGTCCTTTTGAGGACTTCGGCACTGCATAACGAATACTAGTTTCTCGGATGGAACGGTATTGTTGCCCCGAGGCTCAGGGGAAGGGTCAAGCATGGCGATTTGTAGCACGACGCAATCGGGCAGTTTGCCATCTCCCCAGACTACCTCATTGCCGGCAACCTTGAATCTCGAGAACAGTGGAAAGAAGGCGATGCATGCGTTCGTCCAGAGTATGCTGACAGGCGATACGGTCGAGTCCGGTTTGATAGCGGTGAGCGCACTGAATAGAGTGACGTGACGGAAGAAGACGGATATGGGCTGAGATGCCATATTGTCGAATGTAGGTTTTGATGTCGCAGGGTAATCTATTCAAATCTTGAGGATCATTCAATCAATGTTAGGAGTTCTATGGTGCGAAGAGGGTAAGAGTTAAGGTCCGGCGCTAAAGCCCCACCTGCCAGGCTGCGGCTGCGGCTGCGGCTCTGCACGCGGTGATGTACACGAATGTGCATCTATCATATTTGTTTACTCGTCATGTTTACTGACCAGTGTTTACTGTCACTGAGAGTTCACACCGTGTAACCTGTGTCACCTGATACAATGCGTGCAAACAAGTTTCATCTGCCCCTCTCCGTCCCAAGCTTCGCCATCGCTATTTCTCATAAAAGTCACTGTGTTGCTCCATCCTCATTTGGCCCGTCAAGTAAGCCAGGCTCACTCCGACCCTTCGGGTTGATTAGGCTATTCCATTCAATTGTGACCTGACCCCCTGGGAAGTTGTCTGAACACCTCCCAACAGTCGCCTAATACGTGGATCGACAATTGATCACGCTGGTGCGCAGGAACTTCTTCTGCCCCATTTGCGGGGTTGTTATCGAGCCAGTTACAGTTGATGCACTAGACGAGGTAACGGCGCTGGAATGGTACCAGATGCTTCGTGTGGGTTCGTTATTCCTTCATCTTATGACCTCTAACCTCCGTTGGTTTCATTGTTCGCCCGAGCTGATTATTGCCGTGTGGCAAACAGTCAGACGTCACGCATTTTGGGCCCCGGCTACAATCAGTGGTATAGGTTACCTCGACCCCAATGATAGAGTTATCGCCACGCCTGAACCAGAAGCTTCTATCACAGACCGACATGCCCAACGTGAAGAATATGTCAAATTCCTTGACATTGATGGACACTGGTCTTTCATCCTTCATGCCGGCTGCTGGGATATCATTCTCCAAAGCACACCGCGAAAGGAATCGAACGTTACAAGAATTTGTACTACCTTACACGCTATACTCTACTGTTCCGTGTGGAAAGGTACTTGGATTGAAGACTCGGAGCATGGCTCTGAGGGCGCAGCCCACTTTCAGCGACAATTTGACAGCCCCGTGGCGGATATTATCCGCAGTCAACATGCTTATCTCTTGGTTAACCCCTCTCACTTACTTAGTGTGGAAAGCTTGTTCCTTCCAGGGCGCGAACATGATAGGTTCCCTTGTACTATCAGTGTCCCCAGCACCATTGGTGCCGACAGTGATAGGTTTTCCACTCTCCCAACTGAAATGATACATCATATTGCCAGCTACCTATCCTCAAAATCAGTGGGAGACCTGAGATTGGCCTCTCCTTGGGTAGCTGCCAAAACTTGTGTCATGTCCCTGCCACAAGGCTTTTGGTGGAGCCGCTTTTGCCCCGGTTTTGAGATGAACTTTGCGTTGCCAATACTGACTGGACCAGTGTCAAATTGGCGTCGAGCTTACTTCGCAATCAAAGCGGCACTGCATCTTCCGGAAAATTGGGGCCTCAAAAATCGTCGTCGGATATGGAATCTTATCTCCAAACATGCAGGTTTGCTCCAGCATCACACTGTTGAAAGTGGAATTCTTGTCCGTGGTGCCTTCTATCCTGGCGATTCAAATACTCTACCGCGTGTGCAGCGGCATTCAACAAAATTCATTACAACGGAAGAGAAGACTGATCAATATACTTATAACCTTCTAGTATCTGGAGGCAGAACCATACGTGAGATGGAATTAGCGTTACCCACTGGGAACGGACAGATCGACCGAGCAGAGGTTTTTCTGGTAACCTTTGGTTCCCGAGAATACATAGCCGGCCTGCGTTTCACACTCACAGACACTTATACTGGTCAGGAGCAAACGCGCCTTCTTGGTTATACCGGTCAGAAGAAGCAGCCTTTTGTCATGTTTCCTTCATCGCAAGACGTTGTAGGTTTTGGCGTGGCAATATGTGCAGGAGGCATTGTCGGCTTGAGATTACTCTTGAGGCGCGGCACGCTCACTTGCTGGACAAGATGGATTGGGAACACAGAATCCAAGGAGGCGCATATTTCATACGCACATTTGGTTCCGGAGAGGCCTGTCGAAGAACTTCATGTTCTAGCAGCCTTTGACGTATGTATTTTACAATAGTTATGGAGTCAAGTGCGTCAGCTAAAACTGCAACAGGCATTCAAAATGGTCGGAATGGGAATCGACGACAGCCCATCCTGTTCTCCACCTAGCCAGCCACCGCAGCTCGAGACAATATGGACACCATGTCCCCCACGAGCTGGACCGCGCTTATTGCCTGGGCTTCAGGCTCTTTCTTCCCAAGTTTTTAATCGTTTCCTGAACATTGAATTTGGCGGTGAGCGCGGGGAAAGGCTAGCGCACCTAAGCCGAGTCGTAGCGCACATCTCCAAGCCCCAATGTCCTATACTAGGTTTAAGCTTCTACTTTGTTGGACTGGAACCATTGCACTTCGGCCGTCAAGGAATGATAGAAATGTCATTCCTCATCGATGGACCCAAAGGAGAGAGAATACAGGGCGTTGCATACGACCGAAGATCGGACGTTGTCGTCGCACTTAGGGTATGCTAATTCTATAACCACAAGCCAGCGATCGTACCGGATGCGCTAATATATACTTCCTAGATGCTCACTAACTTTGGAGGCGACATAACATTCGTAGCTAATCGACTCATCGGTCCGTACAGTGCGGACTGCCCCCATCCAGACGATCCGGACTGGCAAGACAAGCTTGACCATATGAGTAATGTAATAAGGGCACCTAGAGGAGAAGTTATTGTTGGCTTCACTTCTGTTCTTGAAGTACGTCGTATATCCCCCCGCAAACAGATGTCGCTCATAATTATCCATAGGACGCCGGTGATTCGTTCCAGACATTCGGATTACAATGTGAAACGGCGAATGCCGTAGAATTGCATCAGCCACAACTTTTGGGGACCGACAAGCATCAGATGCCAAAGCTTGAGGGGAAGAGAATAGACGACATAAGTGATTATGTCGAACGCCGATGTTGTGACTACACTACTGCCTCCCTAGATGGCATCGTCAGATTACGATTTTCCTGTGGACAAGACGGTCGTCCCAGACGGTCAGATGAGATCTCTGGCTTATGGCTAGAATATAGTGCCGCTCGTCCCGTTATTCTGGGGCAGTGGATCACTGAGGTTGGTACAATTACTTTGCCGGAAAATGAGCCGATAACGGAAATTCGACTTTGGCTTAGGGGAGCTACAAGATTTTTCAATTACTCACGGCCCGTTGGTCGTGTGATGCAAATTGGAATATCGACTCATACTCAATCTTTCGTGTGGCCACCGACTCGGCCCTCTGACGAGGGTGGAATAGTCTGCTTGACCTTCCAGAGCAGTTACTTGGAGAAGTTGGTAAGATTGCCCTGCCACCCGAGAGCCTACACGCCATAATGTACACTCTCGATAACAAATTTCCAGTCCTTGCTTATGTGGGTAATGATTGATACCTGGGATTTAATCTTTCCCATTATGGCCCCTTTATCGCGAGCCCGTCATTTGACGTGTTGGAGCGGCGGCTTGTTCAGAGAAACAAAATACCCATGGGAGGAACCTCACAAGGTACTATGGACACTCGGAAACGGCACCGACCGGTTAATTTCAATTACCCCATTTCAAACCCACTCGATGTGGAAAGGAATCTCAGGATTGAGGTTCACTTACGAGTCTGGGCGAATTATTGATGCCGGCACTGCCACCACCAGTGATCCTACGTTACCCGGAATCACGTTTGAAAAGGAAGACCGCCTTTGCAAGGCTGTTATCCGTAAAGGCAACGAAGATTTCGTCGGCATATATGTAAGTCTTGAACGAACGTTCATTTATTTTCCGGCGATTTCCTCCCGTGATATTGATGTCGGAACCTTGTAGTTCTCCTTCAAAAGCTCGATAACTGGTCAAGTCACTACACGATCCTTCGATAATTATAAGAACTTTGAGGATCTAGTAAACGATGGCGAGATTTCTCGGTACGTTATTGATATTGACCAGAGACACTACAACTTCGACGATGGATGGAAAACGCTTCATACACTACCTTCGCAGATTCCAGATGGTGAAATAGTAGGTCTTTGCGTTTCCGATGTTGGAAGGGATTTGAATATAGGGCCAGTTTTGCTGCAGGAGAATTCCGTTTGAGATGACTGCGATATGAGGCACATAATAAACTCACATCCTCAAAGATTTAGATATCATTTGTTCAGGACCACCAACCAAAGCATGTCCAATTCCAATTTATTGATTGATTGGTTGATTCATTGATCTTAGGATAAGTCAATGTCCACATTAGTCTTCCATCTTATCGAAGGCCCCCGTGGCCGCACTGGAGCTTGTAGGGATTTTCCTGTACCTTCTCTATTCTAACTTGTGTTATTTGTGCTTTTTGTGTCCTTTAAAGTTGTTTCCTATTGTGTACTTTCATGAGCTTACTCGCTCCTATTCCAAATTGCTAGTCATGATGAGTTACAGACAATCCAGAATTTGCCTTTACTATCTAGACTTCTCTGTTGATTCCTAAGTCCTAATGCCAAGATACGCTAAGCTATTCCCGGAACAGATCCGGAATATCTTGGTCCAAGATATTAGAATGTATTGTTTTATTTTAGCCAAGCCTCTGGGTTCTGTTTATTATGCTGTTAGATTTTTATCCAGGTACCATCCTTGTAATTTCCTTTCCTGGTTTTGATGTCTTTGCTATCATCTCGCAAGAACCGCCTGTTTTATGATTATAATTAATAGTATCTAACTTATCCTAATCTACGCTTGATTTTATTTATAATATGATTATTAATGGAGAGCTTTCTTTGTCTCAGATAGTTATAAATACTAGCTGTAGTAAGTTTATAATTATTATTATTTACTCTAATTTTTATATACTTGGAAGTGTCAGAGTACTACCAGTCAAAGATAAATGTCCATGGTGTTTTATAATAATAATGATAGATACTCTTTATAACTATTTACTAAAAAAGTTTGGTCTATATCTTCATGAAATGCAGGTTTTTTTACTAGATAAATTCAGTCTGCATATCTAAATTTCTACTATTAGCAATATAATTTATTGTAAAGGATAGTCGAAAAAGATAATATAATAAAAAATAAAAAGAATGAAATACTGATTTATATAATAAATATTTCTATAATATTACAGAAGTCTGATTGTATCAGTTTATATTTATTAATGAATCTGGATGTAACAAATAGATAGGCAGCAGGCTTTCGGAGAACAGGCTGGTTGCTTTTTTAGTATAACTCTAGTCTAGATATTTTTAGTATATATTTAAGATAATATTCTTCTTTCTTGTATGTTCCAGGGCTCCACTGATAGCTTGTGATTTGAGAATTTCATTAAGAAATTTCTCTAGGATTGCTAACTATATCCGGCTGTTAAGTTAATTATTATCATAAATAATATCTTTATTTATTAATCTGGACGGATACAAGATATGTACTCGAAAATAGATATTAAATTGATATATTTATTATTATATTTCCCAGATTTAAATTTTATTAAAGAGTTCTTTACCGAGCTAAAAGATTTTATCTAATAATATTTGTAGATATATAAAGATAATTGTGACCAGGGTTTTGCTTCCTTTCTTGAATAGTATATAGATAAAATCAGTACTAGAAAACAGAGTACTTGAGGGTATTTCAGGCATGCAGATCTGATAATACAAAAGTCGTAGTATCTATAATATAGTGAATTTATCTAATAGTCTTTCCGGTAACTGGTATTGCTACTTACTCTTTGATCGTTTCTGAAGCCCTGGCTTTAAACTATGCTAAGCTAGTTATAGAACAGATCTGGTAAGTAGCTAGTCCGTGTATATAACATAATGTTTTCCTGATTATTAGCTTGTATATTCATACTTCAGCTTAGTATGTATACTGTGCCGATCGTTAATGCTTTCCATGTTGACGTAGAGTTTACTTTTCCAAACCCTGATCACCTGCCGCGCTGATCCCGATATGAACACTGAGTAAATAAAAAGTTATGTATATACGACCTAATGATACCAACCGATCCAAGATACCTATGAGATGAGAATTCTCTTACTCCTGATAATTTTCCTCTCTCATATCTTTGCCAATGACCCTGTCGATCAGGAATTGGCAGTCTATAATCCACTGTTTACAGGACAGAGTCAAGTACTGCTTATTGCCTTCCCCATGATTTCTCTTTAGCTGCCTCACGAAAAGCCTTCTCTTCGACGTGTAGCTTGACTTCGGTTCCTGCTCGTAGAGAGCAGCAAGAGTCCTCTCCGATGCTAATCAATCAGGATGATCTTCTGCAAGCTCCTCCGCTTGTATCTCGACAATATGTTGTAGCAAGACAACAGGTTCTCTTAATGCCCATCCTTCTGTGTGTGTGCAACATGCTGTAGGTAGTCCCGCCAGGTCTCAATATAGTGTAATCGTGGGAGGGAAAGTTTCCAAGGGAGGCAGAATGTACGCTCCGCCTCTATGGCGTGTGACGATTATCTATGAATTTGACGCTGTGATAACAGCAGGACTGAACTCTTACGACCTGACAGATTACATGTTTTATGATAACTCACCCCTCCGTCTCGTATTCACTAGCTTCCTTCGAAAAAACAATGCTTTGTGAACTTGGTGGCAATTCGTCACAAAGGTCTTCGATATATGCCTCCAAATCTTCAGAAACTCGAGTGTGCTCGTTACTACTCTCCTATGCTTCCTCCTGGCTCTCATTTTCTGAGTTATCCGAGCCCCAAAAGTCTTGAAGGGATTGCTGCGTGGTGTCTGGCTCGGTATAGTCAAGTTTATCGAAGGCACTGCTTTGTGATATTGGTGGCAATTCGTCAGATCGGTCTTCGATATATGTCTCCAAATCTTCAGAAACTCGAGTGTGCTCGTTACTACTGTCCTCTGCTTCCTCTTGGCTCTCATTTTCTGAGTTATCTGAGCCCCAAAAGTCTTGAAGGGATTGCTGCGTGGTGTCTGGCTCGGTGTAGTCAAGTTCATCGAAAGCACTGCTTCCCTCATACTCAGTTTCGTCAGGGTCATCATTTTCCTGGCAGTCGTCTTCCCAGGCTATGCGACGGCGCTTTGATGGAGTTCGGTCTAAATCGTCGTCATTGCCGTTTGCTTGCCTCTTTTGTGAATTAAGTGCTTCACTGACTGTTTTTATCTTCACAACATCCGGCGCCGGTATTATTCCTAGCAGCTCCTTCGCGTATGCCGCTGCTGTTCCCGCCGCGTACGGCTGCCATATCTTGTTTTTGTGCGAGTCAGCATAGTCGCAGATTCCGCGGATCACAAGGCACGGGAAGGTATTCATCAGGCCAGCTGCCTCCATCTCGAAGCAGAGAACTCCTCCGAATTCGAAGCTGATCTTGTCCCGTTCTACACCGTCCTTCATCACCTGGTTCCCCGATGCGATTGTACCGTAGTGAATCATGGGTGTATTATCCGCCCGCACCTTCCTTTGTATCGTTCTCGTGGTTGTGCATGATACACAGTCATCCTCTCCAGCATGATTGTATTCTGCTTCAAACAGCACATCACTTCCAGCTTGATCGCGGCTAAACTTGGGAAGGTTACTAAGCTTTGACAGGTGCGGCGACAGACTACTTCTTCGTCGGTCGAGGTTGGATCGAAGCTTCGTAACGGCAGCGAGTAGAATCATAGGTGGAGTGTTAAGGAACCCCGTCCGCTTGAACCCGCCTGGTAGTGACTTTCCAAAGTCGTATTGCACCACCCCGCCATGACCGTTTCCCGGCTGGCTGACCACAACATCACCAAGCCGAATATCCGCTTCTTTACTTGGGGCGCCGCCCCCTATTCCCACCATCAGCCCAAATCGAACGTCCGGAAACGTGCTCTTCATCTGCATGGCGACTGCCGCAGCAGAATTGTTACCCGTCTGGCCTGCAGGCAGACACGCCAGAACGACGTTGTGGGCCCCTATAGATCCTAGCGTGTATATATTCGAATCGGTGTGATTCGGAGGGAGGTTTTGATGTTCTTCGTCAAGCATCTCCTGTGCGGCAGTGAGCTCGTCCGGCAAGGCGCACACCCACCCGGCCGTATAGTCGTGGTGACTGAGGCGACGGGCCATCTTGCCTTGGTGTCAGCTAACACTGGGCTCGACTTGTCTGGGGCATTGGGGATGATGACCAGCACAAATGGCGAGACGCCTTCTTCGAGATTAATCCGAGGAAGGGCGCGTATCGCCCATGGCTGACATGGAAAAGGAGTAAGGCTCCGCCGCTAGTGTCACGTGGCACAAAATTGAATCAGCAATCCCTGCACAGATACGCAACGAGACCCAATAAAATCTGGCGTGTAGACCGGGGTCAAGATGAGGGTGACCCGCCAGTCCGCCTATATCCCATTACAAAGTCAGATCCGGGCTCATTGACAAATACTAGACGGTACAACTGAATTGCGATAAAGGTTTTCTGTTGGGACAAATGTCTCTCCGTCGCCTGGCTGACTAGACGCGATATGTTGTTTTTGGTCTAGCGGTTAGTGCTTCGACATTTTCCAAGGATGGTATACCGGTTTTGAGGCGCCATAATTGATAGAGCAAGACTTTCTCTAGCAATTGGGGTAGGTGCAGCACCTTAGTTGTCGCGTTTATGTTGCTGGACCCATCACCGCGACTACCTATGGAACGTGAAGAAGTCGCTCATTTATATTTCTCGGCATCTCGAGACGATTAACTCTACGTAGGACATTTCCGCACGTTTAAAACCAACATTCATAGGATTATAAACGTTGGTGTGTTCCACAATGCAATTTACTATTCCTTTTGACCAGTGAAAGAATCGATATCCACTTGTCTATTTTGTGCACAAGAAATCCGGAAGCAGTCACATCCCGTCAACAATACCTAGTGGAACGAGCCGCACGCTCTCATTTCCAACCATCAGTGGTCTTAATAATGGCTCATGAGGTACCTCCTACAAAGGAATTGAATCATTCACCCTCTTGTTGACCTTTTCGACCATTGATCACGTGAACATTTCTCATAGCAGTAAGCCGCAGAAGAAATCGCCAGATGGCTGGTCTCTTCCGAGCTGACCATTCCTAACCTAGCTGTGATGGAATAAAACATGCGTATTCAGAGCAGGTTACGATTAATTATACCATGGACATGGTGACGCATTCCAATGTACTGAAAGCGAGACTGTATGCCAATATCCAAATACGGTAGCCTTTTGTTCTTTCTGACTGTGACAGTATGACTTCAGCAAAGTGTAACGTTGATTTGTGCATCGATCCTAGATTTTATTGTGCACATATCTATCTAAAAAGCAACATGTTCAGCAAACATCTGACTCCCCCCGTACATAGGAACCGCCATATACTGATATCGCCCTGCTGAGCATCCATCAGTAGTCTATCACCAGTCAACATGAGTGTTATAGTAATCGTCGACCACATCGGTCCAGGAGAGGAATCTGCTCAGCTCATCATCGTTAAGGAGTTCAGCAAAATCCATCTTCGAAATCCCAGGATAAATCGGTTTAGTGTCAGTACGCGGTGACATCAGCTGGCTTGGGTTCAAGATAGCAATCAGTTGCCAACGTGGTCTACCACTATTATCTGCCGTCTTCTTCCAGAACACGGTGAATTCCGGCGACTTGGAATGGTTCATTAGCGATATCATCGCCTCCAGAAATCCGCTGAGATTCATGCCGTTGGTATCACTTCTCAGAAGACTGTGCTCCCTGTTCAAGTCGACATGATCACTAATCCCCGGCCCTGGGTCCTGCCTCTTCGTGTGCAGGCTAACAGCTTCGAGGACAACAGGGACAGTCGATGGCCACATCCGTCGCCATGATGCCTTCTCGTATAAAACGATTTCTTTCAGCTTGGCATCCTCAAACCATGCGAACTTCCCGCTTGGCCCGCGTTGAACGAAGTAACCCCCAATGTTTTTACAGTAGTAACCAGGACAGAACCACTTCTGGAAGAAAGGATTAAGCGCCGGCTCTTCTTTATAAGAGGCCGAAGACTGCTCGAAGAACAGAGCCCGTCGGATGATAATAGACCCCCTCATTATCAACTGCCAGGATCGACAGACCTGCTCCATCCTCAGCAAGTCCGCAAAGCCGAGTCTGTTAAGTATCATCTCTACAAGCTCCGGAATTGCGAGTGCCGCTTGCGCAGCCGTGTGTCCTTTGTCGGCGTTATCGTCTCCCGGGGTTGTTGGGCTTTCCGTCGGGCAGTCGGGGTCTGAGGAAGCATCGTCCCATGCCACGCATGATGGACTTTTCTGTTCGTCGAGGACGTCCATTTGAGTTATGCGTGGTATGTTCTGATGCTATGAGACACTCTAGGAGAATCTAGAGCATGACAGTTCTGCAGAGATGTAGGGGAGACGAGCGTACTTATACTGTCTCACAATACTATCAGCTTGTTGTCACATCGACGCTTTGCTCGGAAGCATTGTCCGAATGTCGACGTAATCCGAATGCGACTTTCCATCATCCCATCAGTGCATTATGGCCTGGTTCCGACCTTTGCAATACCCTTACTTATGTCATACACATAATCAGATACCTTCAACATGATGACAGCGGATGTTGGATATTTTTGACTGGATTCTTCATTTTACGATGTTACACAAACTGCTGTCATCTCTTGATAGGCTGGATTGAAAGTGGTGGCGCTGCCAAAGGATTTGCTGAAGCTTAGCAGATGATCATTTCTTAACACGGGGGTGGAGCGATCCGGAACGAAACATGTCCTCGTCAATTGGTTATTTCCTGCGCCATGTCAGTGGAGCAGAGGCATGTCGCTGTGGCCTTCTGCTCGTCCAATTTTCTATTGGCTGGAGGCTTATCCCTTCTTGCGCAAAGCAAATCAATCCTATCTTTCCGCATGTGCAAGGAATTTATCTATTTATAGCATTGCTTCAGTAGCCACAGCAATTATGACTCTTCCATGAGAGAACTCAAGCATTTCACTTCCAGTATATGACAAATTCTCATTGCACAGTCCTAGAGTGTACTTTTACCACTACCAACTACCCATCAACACCAGCATACCTAGCACCACCGGTGGAAGACAGTAATCTAACCAAGACTATATATACCCCAACCCAATCATCTCAAAGCGGCGTATGAGTAGGCACCCAATAGCAATCCGGCCTCTCAAAGTACTCCCTCGCCTCATCCCAAGACCACTCCGTACCACTATCATCCTCATCCTCAACAGGCCTTATTTTATCCTCGTTATTGTTGGAGTCGAAAGTTCTAGTCCCATCATCATTAACCCACTCCCACTCCCCCCTATGCGCAAACTTCGGAGGCTTATCCGGGCCATAATACCCCGAGTCAAACTTATCCATTTCATACTGATTCCTAATCCCCAAATACTCCCCCGCCGTTGACTTCATCCTAATTGGCGGCTTCACCCTCACAAACGTAAACTGATGCCGATCACACCACCCATGCATCCTCTCCGGACTCGCACACACAAACGAGCACTCATACGGCGCCCTCAGCCTTCTCTTCTCCTCATCACTAACCCCCTCCTTCCAGTTATTATCCCACTCCCCGCTCCCCTCCCTCACAGTCCTCCACTCTACCGCCATCCCATTCGTCGGCCAAAACCCTATCTCATGCAACAACACATCCCAAACGAGCTCCATCGTCGCTCCCAGCACCGGATCCTGTCCAGCCTCTTTATCATGCACCAGCAGATTCTTCGGTGGGTTTTGATCATCCCTGACCGTCTTCCGGACTACTTTGCGCACCCGGCACGGGATATTCATAGGTCTCATGCGTCGCCAGGAGGCTTCGGGGCGGAAGACGGCCTGGTGGTAGGCTGTGTCGTCACCGAGGCGCATATGCTGTATGTCTTCCGGCATGAAGATTGGGGAGGTGGGCTTGGTGAAGTCCGGGGTGGGAAATAGCACTGGGAACAGGTATCGCATCAATGGGTTGAAGGTTGGTTTGGTGGGGTACGGGTGGACGAATTCGTAGAATAAGACTGCTCGGAGTGGCCCGCGCGTGGTGATTAGCGTGCGCCATTGGCGGCAGACGAGTTGGGCGCGCATCAGGTCGAATGGGTCGAAGCGGAGGAGGATGCACTCGACTAGTTCGACGATGCTGAAGACGGTGTCCATCATTGGGGTGGGGGTGGATGATGCTATGAGCTTTGTGGATGTGGTTGGTTCTTGGGTAGCCATGGTGGTTGTGGTCGATTCTGTTGTAGTCATTGTGGTAGATGTGGTTGGTGACTTGCTTTAGGGTTGGGTTTGTGTAACGTAGTTTGTGCTTTTTTAGCAGTGTGGAATCGTTGATGCTGTTTGGATGGCGTGCAAGGATGGGGTATATATAATTGTGACACAGCATGCAAGGTATGGAAGAAGCCCTTGTGAGTAAGATTTATCATGTACAATTTCAATAAAACGAAGTATGTTGTAGCCGTTGTTGATGCTGCTCGTATTTAAGGTTTGTCAGCTTTATGCTCTTTGTGTGCATATCAAATCATCAATGTATGGCGGGAACACCCTTTGTCGAGCATGAGTATTGACGAGAAAGAATGTCTTTGTATGCAGAAGACACTTTCTTTCGACGTACATGTCATGTCGATGCATGTTACTTTCCATCGTTTTCTATTCGATCAAATATCTCGTCATGATTACCCCTACATAGTACTATGAGTCACTACCTCAATACACCTTTACAGCTACGGTCACAATATGAATAAAGCAGCGAAGTGATAGTGGATAGTTTTAGTGAATTCATAGCATAATATGGGTATCTCATCGTAGTCAAATCATCAATATATAGAAAAGGCATAGTGCTCTGCACCACCCGCATCTGATCGTCCATCTGTAAGCCACATATTGCACCATCTGAGCCTTCTTAAATGAGAAAGGAGTCATGGAATTCACCCCATACCCCCATAACAGCCCAATGATGCTTCCGGCAAACCTGACAAGACAACAGTGTTATAGTAATTGTCGACCATTCAATATTGGCCGATCATCAGTATCCCATGATCGGACAACGCGAGCGTTATAGTACAAGTCGATTCTCCTCGTCCAGGCGCAGAAGAGTCCACTCATTATCACGAGGCATATCTAGACGTAAGACA